CCGTTTTTCTCCCATTTCTCCCCATCCCCCGGCAGATGACGGATTGCCGAGCGCCGCCGATCCCGAGAGCTCCCCGGAGGGTTTGGAGGAGCCGGAGGAGCCCCGGCGGGACCCCCCGGACCCGGCCCGCCCGACCTGCGAGCTCTGCGGGAAAAGCTTCACCTCGGACTCGTCCCTGAGCCGCCACCTCCGCGCCCACCCCGGCGGGTCCCCGTTCAGCTGCTTCCGCTGCCACAGCTCCTTCCCGTGCGGGGCCGCGCTGCGGGAGCACCTCAGCACCCCGTGCCAGCCCCGGCCCCACAAATGCCGCTCCTGCCCCAAACGCTTCGCGTCCGTGCGCTCCCTGCAGAAACACCGCCGCGTCCACCTGGACGGCGACCTGCGCTGCCCGGACTGCGGCAAAACCCTCACGTCCAAAGCGTCTCTGGTCACGCACCGGCGCATCCACACCGGGGAGCGCCCGTTCGCCTGCCCGGACTGCGGCAAGAGCTTCATGGCCACCAAATCGCTCAGCAAGCACCGGCAGGCGCAGCACATCGCCGGCGGCTTCATCTGCAGCGACTGCGGCAAGAGCCTCTCCAGCCACTCGGCGCTGGTCACCCACCGGCGCATCCACACGGGCGAGCGGCCCTACGAGTGCCCCGACTGCGGCAAAGGCTTCATGGCCACCAAATCGCTCAGCAAGCACCGCAAAATCCACCGCGACGGGGCGGCGGGACCCGCGACAGCGGCGACAGCGCCGTGCTCCGAGTGCGGTGACAGCGGAGCGACCGCATCGTGCCCGCACCGCCGGCGGCCGCTCCGGGACAGCCCCGAGAGCAGAGCGGAGATCCCGGGAGCCCCCCCGGCCTCATCCCGGCCCCTCCGGGACAGCCCCGAGAGCAGAGCGGGGGTCCCGGCCCCATCCAGGCCCCTCCGGGACAGCCCCGAGAGCAGAGCGGGGATCGCCGCCGTTCCCCCGCGACCCCTCCGGGACAGCCCCGACAGCAGAGCGGGGGTCCCGGCAGTGCCCCCGGCCCCATCCCGGCCCCTCCGGGAACACTCCGAGCTCGGGGCAGGGGTCCCGGCCCCATCCCGGCCGCTCCGGGACAGCCCCGACAGCGGGGTGGGGGTCCCCGCCGGTCCCCCGCCACCCCTCCGGGACAGCTCCGATCTCGGGGCGGGGGTCCCTGGAGCACCCCCAGCCGCATCCCGACCCCTCCGGGACAGCCCCGATCTCGGGGCGGGGGTCCCTGGAGCACCCCCAGCCGCATCCCGACCCCTCCGGGACAGCCCCGATCTCAGTGCAGGGGTCCCGGCAGTGCCCCCGCGACCCCTCCGGGACAGCCCCGATCTCGGGGCGGGGGTCGCGGCC